GGGCGTGGGGGTGAGGAGGGGTGGGGTGGGGCGGTTCAGAGCGCGGGCCAAGAGAGGGAGGGAGAAGGCGGGGTAGGGGACTGGGGCTGATGGTGCATGGGCACACGCGGCTGGGCATGCCGACAGCCACGGCCGCGTGCTGCTCGCGTGGACTGCCAGCCCGCCGGCCCACCCTTGCAGCACATCAGCCGCACCTGTAGGCAAAGCCCTGGAGGTGGAGGTACTGCAGGGCGGAGACGACTTCCGTGGCGTACCGCCGTACCGCAGCCTCGGGCAGGCGGCGGTATGGCGCCCGGTGCAGCACCGCGTGCAGGTCTGAGCCGGGGCAGTACTCCAGCAGGAACTGTACCGCGGTATCTGCGGAACGGGCAGGCGGAGGGCCGGGCAGGGGGTGAGAGGGCGGGGCGGGGCGCCAAGCAGGTGTGGATTGCCGCGGCGGCAGAGGGCCAGAGCAGGCGCAGCGCGAACGACAGGGTGACCACCCGCCCGCCCCACCTGTCTCCATCATGGTTGCGTACAGGGTGACCAGGAAGGGGTGGTCCAGCGCCGACAGCACCCGTCGCTCGGTGTGCACGCGCCCCACCTGCGGCGGCGGCAGCCAGATAGTGGGATCAGTCGTGGATGGAGCAGCACGAGCAGCACGCTCGAGGCGGCGCCCTCGGCGCCCCGCCGGCCCGGGGATGCATGCTCTTGCTGCCCCGGCCTCCACCCCAAGCTCACACCTCGTTACAGCCCACATGCCAAACACACACACACCTACATACACACACACACACACACACACACACCGCCGCCACCCGGGCGCCCCACCTTGTTTCTCTCCACCATCTCCCGCTTGTCCAAGCTCTTCAGCGCAAAGCGATGGCAGCTTCCCGCCAGCTCCACCAGCTCCACCTGCGGCCCACGGTGAGCGGAGCGGGACAAGAAGGTGGATGAGGCCCCCAGGGTTGGCTGACAGCGTGATAGCAGCGGAGTTGGACCTTGTGGCCTGATGCCGTGCGCCTGCCCCCAATGGGTGGCCGCGGCAGGGCGGGTCGGCGGCGTGCCAAACCTGGCGGGCCAGGGCAGCCCTCCCACCAGCCCCCACACGCCCAGCCACACCTTGCCGACGTTACCGGCCCCCAGCTGGCGCACGCGCGTGAAGTGCTGCTCCGTCAGCCGGCCCTCGGCCTGCAGGGACGCAGGAGGAGGGCGGCAGCAGGGCCCATGCGGGGCCTTCTGGCCACCGGGGATCCTCGGTCTCCCCGACCCTGTTCACATGCTGCTGCTGGCAGCAAGGCTGGCTCAGCCCCACCTGTCCACCCCAACCGCTACAAAGGCACCCGCCAACACGCACCTGCGCTGCCGCCCGCAGCGCCGCCCAGGCGCCGTCGGCCGCCTTGTGCGGCTTCACCGGCGCCACCTGGCCGCCAAAGCCGGCCCACAGGTCGTCCTCGCCGCCGCCGCCGCCGCCCTCGTACCCCATGCTCTGCAGCGCGCGCCCCACAGCCTTGGCGTCCCGCAGGCCCCTGGGGGCGGCGCCGCCCAGCGCCGCCGCTCCCTCGGGCTGAGGCTGCTCGGTCACATCCACCTGGCGGGCACAGCGGAAAGCAGCGGGCGGGTGTCAGGTGGTCGGGTCGGTCGGCGCCAGAGAGCGGAGAGCGGGAGGCTGGCTTTGCCTCTGTGCACTGGCTGCCAGGGAAACTTCACACAAGGCAGACGTGCACAGCCACCCTGCAGCCAGCTGAACAGCCCCGCAGCTTCCTAACCCCGCGCCAGCTGCTTACCCCCGCCCCCACCTGTATGCCGACTATGAAGCGCAGCACACCCAGCCCGTCGCGAATGGGCGCCACGGTCAGCAGGTTCCAGAAGGGCTTCCCCGCCTTGGTGTAGTTGAGCATGCGCACGGTGCACTCCCGCCCCGCCAGGATCGCAGCCCTGAGCTCGTTGACGGTCGCGCGGTCGGTGCCGGGGCCTTGCAGGAAGCGGCTGCGGGGGGTGGGCGGGGCAGGAGCGGGGCGTGTGTGTGTGTGAGGCGGGCGAGAGGTCCGGCGGGTGGGTGGCCCGGACTGGGAGGGAGCCGGAGAGGCACCCACACAAACACACGCAACAAGCACGCAGGGCCCGCCCCAGCCTCACCAGTTGCGCCCCAGTATGTCCTCCCGCGCGTATCCTGTCAGCTGGAGGAAGGAGTCGGAGGCAAAGACGATGGGGCAGTCGGGCAGGGAGGGGTCGGAGATGACAAAGTTCTGCGGGGGGGTGGGGGGTGGGGAGGTCGGGGGGAACAGGAGAGGTGAAGGGACAGGATGGGGCCGAGGGTGAGAGGGCAGGGTGTCGGCGGCAGGCCACGCCAGGCAGGTGCCCAGCACAGCGCAGCCCAGCCCAGCCCAGCGCAGCGCAGCGCAGCAGAGGGCTGCCCCGGCTGCTGGAGCTGCTCGGCAACAGCGCCGCGAGGGCCTCCGGGTGCTCAGCCCGCCCTCACCGTCTGGATGCGCTCGATGGTGGTGGCCAGGTCCAGCGCCGCGCGGTGCGGGCACGCCTCCTCCTCCCCCCCGGCGCCGCCCATGCTCAGCGAGAAGCTGCGGGGGCCGTGGTGGGAGGCGCGCGACAGGCGCGACGCGCGCGGCGACACCGCCGCCATCACCTCCTCGGTGGCCGGCCACGCCACCCGCTCCTTGAGCCGCTCGTCGTAGTGCACCAGCAGCGGCAGCCCCTGGGCGCAGCACTGCACGGCGCGGCCCTCGGTGGTGCGGCTCACATCCACCTGCGGGCGGGGAAGGAAGGGGAGAGGAGGGATGGACGCCCAGCGCCGGCAGCACAGCGGCAGCGCCAGCGGCACCACCAACCCCTCGCCCCGGCAGCCCGGTTGCTCCGCGTTGCTGCTCCTCCCTCTGCAATCTCCCCCCTTCCTTTCGGCCGCCCAATCGCCAACCGTGCCGTGCCGCCGCTCCCCTCCACCCCTCCGCCCAGCCTCCACCCCTCCACTCCTCTGCCCAGCCTCCTGGCCACGCTACCGGGGCTCGCCCTCACCTGCACACCCACAATCTTCACCACATTGCCCTCATCATCGTGGATGGGGGTCATGGTCAGCATGTTCCAGAACGCCTTGCCGCTCTTGCGGTAGCACAGCAGGCGCAGCGTGAGGGGCCGCCCCGCCTCCACCGCCTCGTCCAGCTGCCGCACGGCCTGGGGGTCGGTGTCGGGGCCCTGCAGGAAGCTGTACCTGCACGACGGTGGTACAGGCGGTACAGGCAGCGGCACAGGCAGCGAGATAGCACAGCCGTGAGAAAGCAGGGCCACTGTCCTGTCCTCTTGGTAGGGCGGCCCAGCCGTCCCGCCCGCAAATCGCAACAACACGGCCACCACCGCTGCAGGCACGTGCCGTGCATCGCTTGCGGCGGCGCCGCCCCACCAGCCCCAGCTCTGGAGCCTGCCCTCACCAGTTCTTGCCCACCAGCTCCTCCTGGCTGTAGCCAGTCATGTGGTAGAAGCTGCAGCGGCGGGAAGGTGGATGAGGTCAGCTGCTCTGCTGGCTGCCGTGCTAGCGCACACATGCACAGGCCAGGTGCACCCGCCCCCGGCGCGGCTGCGTGGCGCCTCACCCCTCGCTGGCGTAGATCAGCGGGCAGTCGGGGTGCGTGGCATCAGCCACCACAAAGGTCTGGCGCAGCTGCAACGCACGGGCGAGGGAGGCGGCGGCGGGCGTTGGAGCAGGTGGCGCGCCTCCGACGCCGAGGTGGTTGGCTAGGCTTTTTAAGGGCATTCTGATGTATATACCCAACTCCCTCTGCGGGGCTGCGTACCTTGGCCAGGGCGGAGGTGAGCTGGGCCTGGGGCGCCGGCACCTGCGGCGGCGGCGGGAGCATCAAACGTTGGAGGGGTCTACCACCCCCAAACGGCGGGATAGATCGCCCTTATACACCATGATTGGCACAGGAGCCGCACCGGAGGCGCCGGGGAGCCGCCAGGCGGCAGCATCGTGCTGTGTATGAGCAATGCCTTGAGCGCCAGGAACTACTACTAGCTCCCCTGCCGCTTCACTACTGTCGCACCGGTCGGTTGGTACGCATGGGGCAGCGAGGAAATGATAAGAATGCATCTGAGGTCTCTCCCACGACAATCTCCCGGTCGCCTGCCAGCGTGGCGTGAGTCGGAGGCCTCCATGATGATGATGGAGGCCTCCATGGATCGGTAGTAAATGCTTAAAATGCCAGAATGCCAGTCGAAGCGCTTGCAAGCGCCTCTTGCCTAACCTCTTACACTCGGGCCACACCAGTGGGGTCACACCAGTGGGGCTCCTGCCTAGCTAAAACCCGCTTCTGAGGCCAAGTTAGTGACAAATCGGATGTCAGACAACCGATCAATGAGCTGCCCGGGAGGGCCTCCTCCCGCAGTACCTTGCCGCTGCCAGCAGACTCACGCCCTGGCTGCCAGCGGACTCATGCCATGGCCACCTCATCGCTCTTCCCCTCCTCCTTGAAACGAAAGTATGCGGTGTAGGGCTCATCCATGATCTGCAATGCATGCCAGGGTAGGCAACACGCGGCCGGCAACAATGAATTGCCTCTTGCTGTTGCTGCATCCACGCTCACACGCCGCCACCACCACCACCGCCCATCGCCGCCCACCTGGCCGATGGACAGTAGCAGGACGTCGCGGTTGGGGGCGTGCAGCAGGCGGGCGCCGGGCGGGTAGGCGGGGGCGGCAGGGGGCGCCAGCAGGAAGGACGCGGCGACGTCCAGGGACAGTCGGGCAGCCTGCACACGGCAGGTGCGGCACACGGCACGCCACACAGGCGCTGCTCGGCGCTGGCCGGGAGCGGGACCGCTGGGGCCGCACACACAGTGGGTTGCGCGGCATGCCTACACCAGCGTGCCTACACGCGAGCGTCCAGTCCCTACACGCCTGACAGGGCAGGCAGGGTAGGCAGGCCAGGCCCCCACCTGCACCCGCAGCCGCATGTCATCCGTCAGCGCCACCCTGGCGCCCGGCTGGCTCAGCGGCTCCAGGGCAAAGGCCGGCTGGCCCGCGCCGCCGTCCCCCGCCAGGTGCAGCAGGAAGGTCTGCGCGACGGCAGAGCCGCGCATGCCGCCGCCGCTGGTGGTCGTGCGCTGGGCGGGCAGCAGCGCCAGCTCGCTGGTGCCGCTGAGCGCGGTAAGGTAGTGGCTCGGCAGGGAGGCTGCCTCAATGCTGACCAGCTGCGGGAAGCCACCCTGCTGCTGCCGGGGCAGCGCAGTGGCACCCTCCGCTGCCCCTGCCGCCTTCTGCATCAGCAGGCGGCGAGCGCGCGCGGCAGCCTGGGAGCAGGCGGCGGCGGCGGCGGCCTCGCCCGCCTCGTCCTCGCACCCCGCCCGCGGCGCCGCCAGCCTGAAAGTGGCGTCCAGCGGCGCCCCTGGGCCGCCCATGCACCTGCCGCCCAGCTGCACGCTGGCGTTGCAGTGGCGCAGCAGCAGCTGTGGGGCCTCGGGCGCCCGCAGCTCGCTGCCGCCGCTCAGGCCCAGCGACACCAAGCCGGTACGGTCCGGGATGGACAGCGCCGACTCCAGGTCGGCCGGGCTCAGGGCCAGGTCGCGGCTGCCGTCGTGGGTCACGCCTGCAGGTGCAGGGCGGCGTGAGGCCGGCGCCGGCGCCACAGCCAAAAAAGGGATGTTCATTCTCGACCCGCGCTTCATCTCAATGCCCGCTGCCTCTGCTGCCGGGACCTTCACTAACGCTGCTGCTCCACCCTGCTGCTGCTGACCGCCCGCCACTCGTACCTGCCATGAGGAACGGCCCCATCCGGATTGCCTTGAGGGCAGCCAGCTGCGGGCGGCTGTCGGTGAGGTCCTCTGCCACCACCCGCATCGGCATCACCGCCTCCACTGCGGTCATGATGGGGCGCCAGGAGGGGGCGGCGATGCCAGGGGTGAGGCAGGCCCACATGGTGGCTGGCGCTCAAGTGGCAGCAGGGCCGCGGATGGGCCTGGGCAAGGCGAGAAGGTCTGGCTTGGCACCCATTGACCTATTAATGCAACTGCTTTTAACCTTGTGCAGAGGCTGGCTGCCCCCGCCGGCGGCATGCGCGCTGCCGACAGCGGCCCGGCGGCCGCCTCACCGACGTCGCCGTTGCGCCAGGCGGGCCCCATGCTGCAGAAGCGCGCACCCGCGCCCCACTTGGGCGGCACGCCGCCTGCGGGGGCAGGCCAGGCATGGCATCAGGGCCGCGGGCGTGGGGCCCACACGATGCCGCCGCTGCCGTTGGCAGGTGGCCCACACAGGTAAACCAAAAAGGCGGCACGCCAGCCGCCTTGCCCGCGGCTGCACACCCACCGTGCCCCGCCCGCTCCACAGCTGCTCCTTCCCCACACTGCGTGTACTCCTTGCCGTTCACCCGCAGCTGCACCTCCTCCGCCTTGGCCCACCTGCGCCACGCAGGGGCGGCGCAACACCGTTGCAAGCATGGCGTGGCAGCCCACGCAGCCCACCACAGGCAGCGGCCGCTGCGCTGCCGCCTGTGGGGCACCAGAGGCTGCCCCCGCTGCAAGCGGCACTCACCCTGGGATGCGCCAGTTGAGCATGAAGCGCCGCTGCTCGCGGTTGCTGCTGCTGCCCTCCTCCTCCCTCTCCTCCTCCCTCTCCACCTCCCTGTCCCCCTCCTGGTCTGGGGGGTAGATGTCAAAGGTGAGGCGGGCCCTGACCGAGTTGTCAGAAGCAGGGTACAGCTCTGCGGGGAGGGGCAGAGGGGGGGCACGGAACGAGGCGCACAGATGCGTCGCATGAGGGGAAGCGGCCGGAAGTTCGGCCGGCAAAAGCGCACAGGACGAAGCAGCACGGGCCAGCCATGGCCAGGCCACCGCCTCGCCGCAGGCCCCTCGGCAGCTGCGCGCTCACCCGCCTCCTGCGTGGCCACCAGCCTCAGCTCCCGCCACCGCACGCTGCTGCTGGCCAGCTGGCTGACAAACAGCTGCGGCACGCCCAGGCCGCCGCCGCTGCGGAAGTAAATTGAGTCTGCCAGCTTTGCAAAGGACTCGATGGCTGGGGGGGAAGAGGGGGGGGGGGGGGGGG